CTTACACTGGACATTCTTTATGGCGATCTAATAGAAGGCAGGAGAGCCGCTGGACGCCCACTTTTACGTTATACGGATGTATGCAAACGCGACTTGAAGCTCTTCAAAATCGACACTAGCAGGTGGAAAGAGGTGGCACTGGATAGATCCACATGGATCGCAGATGTCATGCACAACAGAAGCAGAAAGAAGGGTGAAAATGCAACGGCCCCTGGTGATTTCATATGCCGAACCTGCGATCGCAGCTGTGTATCAAGGATTGGCCTCTTTAGTCACACAAGAAGTTGCAAAGTTACACACACATACACACACACACACACACATATATATATATATATATATATATATATATATATATATATATATATTCCCTATATGAAATCTGTAGACATGGACTCATGTGGTTGAAAGAATGTCTCCCAACAACGCAGCCCAATCAGGTTGTCTTTTAAAAACTTCCCATACCTGCTGTGATCACTGCAGCATGGATGAACAAACAAGCTACACTGGTATGTTACTGCATTTTTTTTCTTCTCAGTATACAATTTTTGTATTAACAAATTATGGACAAACCTGGAACATGGACACGGTTCTCGAAATGACTGTAACAATTTTCCTAGAAAGTTGATATGTTATACATATTTTTGGGAAAAGTTAATTGGCCACAGTTATAAAATCTAGCATAACCGTTATAGTTTTTTAAAATACATTAATCTTTAAATTAAATTTTGTCTTGAGTTCTAGACATTTTGTATGTTGAACATACATACGTCAGCGGATATTCCCGCATGTATTGGCTCAGCAAGGCTGTCATTGCCGGAAGTGGTAATGGATGTCAGCACTCCACTACCTATAAAATGCTTCCTAAATAGCCTCTGACAACCAGTCCAACTCCTGGCCTTCACGTGTGGGTCAGATATTGAGTCCGGCGGAACTGTTCTCACTAACAGGAGAAGGGGCAAAGGCGAGTAACTGGCGCCTTAACCAGTAAGCTTCCGGCAGGAGGGGCTCGTTAGCAATGGCTGGCTACCTACCTAGGAGAAGAAAAAATCTGAATTCAAACCTCTGTTGCCTTGCAGCTATACCCAATCATGGGAAAGGCTTCGGGAGTCAACCCTGAGGAAAAATCAGGAGTTGGCAACCCTAAGGCAGTTTGCAGCACCCAGTGCTACACTCTGGCAGAACCTGCGACGCCGCTGACCCCAAACTGTATCGGCACCGCCGTTCCTTTTGATACATCAGCTGCGTGGAGTGGGGGAACTGATGTGTGGGCGACATCGTTCCGGCCACAACTAATGCCCACGCATTCATCTCATTTCCATGAGATGTTCCATAGTCGCTTTGCGACTGAAGGAGGCCATATATTTATGATTGTAATATATAGACGTTAATGTTGCACACCTTCTACTGAGTCTCGTTCTATAGACCTATCATTCACATTTTATAGTCATTTTAAATTTTATATATTTAAATGTTCGCTTAACCAGGATTTCTTTTCGGAAGGGGAGGGGAGAGTGGGTGCTGGGTAAAAGATGTCCATTTTTTTTTCTTTAGATCTGTCATTCATAAATTGTTAAGAGCAAAAGAATCGCTCTAAAAATACAAAGCTGGTCAACTATGTAAAGGACGAAGTGTGTTAAAACATTTTTGCTTTTTCCGGCGAGTGAATTTTATAAGTGATATTTGATCGTCCAAAAAGGTTTGACCTCAATATAATAACAGGTGAAAAGGTGGGGAGGGGGGTAGGTAAAAAATAATTCTGAATGTCTATGTAGTCTATATATTGTATTTGTTCAGTACTGCACATTTATGTACAGCTTGTCCTACTCCACCACTCTCTATTTGACGTACAACTTGTCCTACTCGACCACTCACTATTTGATGTACAACTTGTCCTACTCAACCACTCTCTATTGGACGTACAACTTGTCCTTCTCGACCACTCTCTATCTGACGTACTTTTTTATTCTATCAACCACTCTCTATTTGACATACAACTTGTCCTATCAACCACTCTCTATTTGACGTACTTTTTTATTCTATCAACCACTCTCTATTTGACGTACAACTTGTCCTACTCAACCACTCTCTATTAGACGGAAATATTTTTTTATTGCAGGCGGTGTGTTCTATCTAGAATCAGGTGACGTTTTGCGCTTGGCCATCAGTGGCTATGGTCTTGTCTATTTTCGCCAGCAGTCTAGTTTTGCTGGACTCATGATGCTCGGAACAAGGACTTCCGAGAAACGATTGGAGGAATAAACTTTGTGTATACATTACGTAAGAGGATAAATTTGTAATGAAATGTTTTTTTATGCCCACAAAGACTTAATGATATTTTAACTAACATATGTTGTTCCTTTAATGAGATTTTCCATTTAAAGAGAGCTTTTATTGTTATAAAACCAATGAAATATGCCATTTTATATGCACATGTTGATGTTGCTTGATCACTAAACTAGTTATATCTATACTGTCTATTATTAAGCTTAATTTTTTTGGGTGAACTTTTTGCACTCTCGAAATAAATGTGTTGAATGAATATAGTGTGCATGATGCCTTATTTAGGATTTATTCGAATGATGTGTTACATATCTATTGTGTGTATCATGTATTATTTATTTTGTAATGAAAACAATTGAATTTGATCCAACTGATTTCTATTATTGACCAACCCATGTCGCGTATCAAAATGCTTTGCTTGTTTTTAATAACAACGGAAATTGTTCTCAGAAAAACGGGGACTGCTAGTGGCTGACTGTCTATATTGAAGATTTCAAATTCCGCAAACACAGGAAGACATTATGTAAATATAAACCAAATTTCTTAAAAAACTTCTTAACAGTAGAAATCGTCTTAATCTTTTCACTTTCACTTCTTAAAATGACTAGACAACGAAATCCTTTCGGAAATTTCCAAACGCAACTGGTTTCTCCATTGTTTCTCTATAAAACAGTCTCAGCATGTGTTTTATTATACCATGATTATACATTAAAGCAGTGTTTCTGAAACTTTAATCAATAAGAACCGTAAAAAATTATTTCGCGTAACCCTTAGCCAGCTGCGGTCCCGCAATGGTGACCGGTCGACGATTAGAAATATAATTTAATTTTAAAAAGGCGAACTAAATGATGGGACTCCAAATGTGCGAAATGAATTTAGGGGAAAAAAAGTGTTTCGTAGATAATTTAAAGTAGAGCTAGTATTGGAGAGGCAGTAGGTTATTATTTTATTAAGGGGCTTTGAGGGAGAAATGTAAGCTGCCCCCCTCCCCCGCTGAGTTTGTAGAGAACCCTGGATCCCATTCTTTCCTGCGTTCTGAGCTTCAGAAGTTCACCCTCCTGGATGCCACGTGCCTTTTTTTTTCCTCAAAGTAGAGTTCATGCTAAACCGCCAGGCTTTTGAACCAAGGGGTACTGGGCTCTAATCTCGTTGAAGGCTGGGATTTTTTATTTTGAGATTTTAAGGGCGCTCCTGAGTCCACCCACTTCTAATTGGTACCAGACATTAATTGGAGAACTTAAATTGATTGGTCGTTATGCTGGCCACATGACACCATGGTCAAACGTCGGACATAGAAACAGATGACGTTTACATCCTCTGTCAAGGTCTGAAAGGGAAACTTTTGTCTTGTACGTTTCTCATGGCCGTGACTGTGTCCTAGGATCATTCTCGTGTGTAAGAAAATCAAAGGCGTCAACTTGATAATATATGAGATGGTTTGTAAATTTCTTCTTCAAAAAGTTTTGAATCCATATTGATGGAGACGCCTTTTGTGATAGAGTTACAGGTCTAACTTAAAAGAAGAAACTCTTATTTAACATATTGCAATCTTATTACTCGGTTTGTATTCAAAACTGCTTTTATATTTACAATAGAAATACGTGTTTAAAACCTTGAAAGGTTAATTGACCGGCCTTGTATTTGTTATCATCCCGGTAGTCATAACCTCGAGCTATAATTTATAACTATATTTAAAAACTATTTAGATCAGGCATGTCAAACTCATTAGGATGTATGCACCCACAATAAACTAACTATGACTTGAAGGGCCGTAGCCGAAAAATCAATTGGAAAACAAAGCCTATTAATTTTATGTAAATTAGAAACAATACGATAGGATACAAAACTTAATGAAATACCTGTCCCTTAGCTAAATTTATAGTCCATGGGAAATTACAATGATTACGCAATTGTTTTAGCTGTCCTGATGCTTGACATTTTTTCTGGGATACAAGTTTATTAATGTCGGGTTGAAGTTTGTTTGCCACTGACACTATCATTATCGATGACACATTTTGATCAGATAATCTCGAACAGTGACGTGTTTTTGTAGCCTTCCTTTCATTATGGAAAATAACTGCTCACAGAGATAAGTGCTCGCAATTATAACAAGAATTAGCATCAGTCTCTATTATTTTTACAAGCGGCTTTGCATCAACACCATTTCTAACCCCAGTCATGGTTGGTGCGCCATCCGTTGCTAGACTAGCTAGCTTTACCAAAGGTCAATTGTACTGTAATTTTGAATAACATCCTTACTTGTTGTGGGTGTAGAACAGAACATGCATAGAACAGAGCTCAAGTAGTTCCTCTTGTATCTCTAAATTTCTGTCACAGGCCTTTATGAATATAGTCAACTGTGGTCTACTCATTATGGTCTGTACATTAATGATCTATAATGTCTACTCATTGTGGTCTGCACTTTAATGGTTCCCATGGTTTACTCATTGTGGTCTACACATTTATGGCCTTACTGGTATACTCGATGTGGTCTGCACATTTATGGCCCTCATGATCTACTCATTGTGGTCTGTACATTAATGGCCCCCATGGTCTACTCATTGTGTTCTGCACATTAATGACCCCATGGTCTAGTCATTGTGGACTGCACGTTAATAGCCCCCAAGGTCTACCCATTGTGGTCTATAAATTAATGGCCCTTATGGTCTACTCATTACGGTCTGCACATTAATTGCCCACATGGTCTTCTCATTGTGGTCTGTACATTAATGGTCCCCATGGTCTACTCATTGTCGTCTGCACATTAACACCCCCTTAGTCAACTCAATGTAGTCTGCACATTAATGGCTCCCATAATCTACTCATTGTGGTCTACACATTAATGGCCCCCATGGTCAACCCTTTGTGGTCTGTACATTAATGGCCTCCATGGACTACTCATTGTGGTCTGTACATTAATGGCCCCCATGGTCTATTCATTGTGGTCTGCACGGTTATAGCCCCCAAGGTCTACCCATTGTGGTCTGTAAATAAATGGCCCACATGGTCTACTCATTACGGTTTGCACATTAATTGCCCCCATGGTCTACTCATTGTGGTCTTTACGTAAATCGCTCCCATGGTCTACACATTGTGGTCTGCACATTAATGGCCCCCATGGTCTACCCATTGCGTTCTGTAAATAAATGCCCCCCATTGTCTACTCATTGTGGTCTGTACATTAATGGCCCCCATGGAGTACTCATTGTGATCTGTACATTAATGACCCCCATGGTCTACTCATTGTGGTCTGTACATTAATGTCCCCCGTGGTCTACCCATTGTGTTCTGTACATTAATAGTCCCCATGGTCTAATCGATGTGTTCTGCACATTAATGGCCCTCACGGTCTACTTATTGCGGTCTCTACATTAAAAGCCCCCATGGTCTACTCATTGTGTTCTGCACATTAATGGCCCCAATGGTATACTCGATATGTTCTGCACATTAATGGCCCCCATTGTCTACTCATTGTGGTCTGTACATTAATGGTCCCCATGGAGTACTCATTGTGATCTGTACATTAATGACCCCCATGGTCTACTCATTGTGGTCTGTACATTAATGTCCCCCGTGGTCTACCCATTTTGGTCTGTACATTAATCGCCCCCATGGTCTAATCATTGTGGTCTGCACATTAATTGCCCCCATGGTCTTCTCATTGTGGTCTGTACATTAATGGCCCCCATGGTCTACTCATTGTCGTCTGCACATTAATACCCCCTTAGTCAACTCAATGTAGTCTGCACATTAATGGCTCCCATAATCTACTCATTGTGGTCTGTACATTAATGGCCTTCATGGTCTTTCATTGTGGTCTGTACATGAATGATCCAATTGTCTATTCATTATGGTCTGTACATTAATGATCCAAATTGTCTACTTGTTGTAGTCTGTACATTAATGGCCCCCAAGGTCTACCCATTGTGGTCTGTACATGAATGATCCACATTGTCTACTCATTATGGTCTGCACATTAATGATCAATATTGTCTACTCGTTGTGGTCTGTATATTAATGGTCCCTATGGTATACGCATTGTGGTCTTTACATTAATGGTCAACATATATTCTACTCGTTGTGGTCTGTATATTAATGGTTCCCTTGGTCTACTCATTGTGTTTTGCATATTAATGGTCCCCATGGTCTACTCATTGTGATCTGTACATTAATGTTCAACATGGTCAACTCATTGTGGTCTGTGACTTGTAATACATACTCTAGATAAGGAATATAAAATTGAGTTCTAACACCACCCTCTTCATGTTTTCTTTATTTGTAAATTGCGTTTTTCTTTGAACAATCAACCTTAGTGGTTTACAATATATAATAGTCTTTTTAAGCACTCAAGTAGCACAAAATCGAACACACTAACAGAAAAACAAAGCAATGACTGTGTTATGTAATAAAGTAAACACGCTTAGCAGAAACATGGACACACTAACAGAACAACAATTAAAGCAATGACGATGATATTTGATAACAACAAACAAAGCAATGATTACGTTAATTTGATAACTTTATTTCTCTCAGTCAGCTCTAAAGGAGGTAACATTGCTATCGGTGATCCTCACGTGAAACTTAACAATATGAAGGACGCTAAAGTGACCTTCAATGTTGAGACCTAAATTTAAAAAAACCTGAGCTACTGAGGGAAAAGTTCAGACAATTTGACAGTAGACAAAAATTATCTAACAGTTTTTCGCCATATATGCAAATCTATGATTAAACATGTTAGAAGCCAATCGGACCAAGCGTCACACTAACCTTGGATAGGGCTACTTGTGATCAGTGGAGACCAATAACTCTTTGACACGTCTCACATTAGTACGTCAGACCTGTGACGTGGCAACGAGCTATTGGTATCCACCGACCACAGGTGTCCACGTCACAGGTCAGTGTTCAGGCCTGCTATAACGATTAATCCAAATTGGCCTCATTACTGGATGAACTCAAATCTGTTGCACGGACAGGAAATGAGGGGGATAAAACAAAACAAGACAGAATGTCAGCACCATTGACCTAGAAATTCGACTATAATACTTTATACTAGAGTTCATTCAGAGATTAACCTTTGACTAAGACTTGTACTATTGCTTTTCTCTAAATTGGTGGTAGTGTGTAAGTTCCCTTTGAAAGTCCCTTCCAATTTGATGTAGGATTTAGACCTAGATTTAGTCTCTAGCCAAATTTGCATTTTTTTTAAATTTTTTTTTTATTTTGCAAAATTACAACGGTAAAACTAGAGTTTTCCCATGTGGCTAGTAATTCTTTTCGCTGCGATATACATCAACTGTTAAATTTCTAGGAAAAACGTTAAAGCTGTTTTTGAAGTCCAGGTTCCGGTTCCTCTATGAATAGAAGTATTGTAATAATTAGAGTATACAGTTCAAAGAAGGAAATTGTAGAAATGAAAACAAAACTTATTTTTTTTTTAAATTAACTCTCTTGTGAATGTCATCATTTCTTTTGGAATTTACCAACAACAAAAATTAGTATTTGGTTTTAGATTTTGTCAACATAAATTACATCATAATATTTGGAATTTACCAACATACGTAAAATCATTTCTATTGAACTTTATCAACATAAATTAAATAGTTTGGGGGAATTAATCGGAATTCTTTCTTTTGAAATTTAACATTTTATACACACAGTCAATTATTTCTCATTTACTATCTCTAATTAGCCTCTTCTTTTAAAATCTTCGTCGAAAGCTCAATAACCTGAAAGATTCTCTTCTAAATTTACGATCGCAGAAACTGTACACAACCGGATTCACTGCACAGTTTACAAGATAGGATCGTAATAAAAGTTGGTAGACTGCTAGAGACGCGCCTTTCAGAGCGTCCACACTGTCGGGTGATGCCGCCTGGACACTGCTGATGATGAGAAATGGAAGAAAGGTTACAAAAAACAAAACTGTCACAGAGAGCATCATACAAGTAGTTCTGCTCAAGACTCTCCTGCGGCTGATTACTGCTTGCGAACTAATACTGGAGCAATTCATCCGCGGAACTTTTGTTGCAGTTTGATGAGCGCAAGGAGTGTCCATTACTTTGGTAATGCTCTCTTTTGAAACTCCTGTTTGATTAAACCAAAATTTATTAGTTTTAAATAATGTGTCTTGTACATAGCCGACCTTAGTGTTACAGTTGATTTCTGGTTCAATGCTCTTGTTGACCTGATGGTCATTCGATGCCTTAAGAGAACTATGGCTGCTGAGGATTTGAGATGTCTGAGGCTCAGATTTTTCTTCTATATTTTCTAGCTTGGAGGACAGTGAAACAGAAACATTAACTTCTAGTTGGCAGGGGGAGGTAAGTCTCGCCACTATGGAAGAAGATTTGGTGACAGATTCACTGTTATCTGAACTAGAGTCTCGCCTGAATGCACTCTTACGATTTCTCGCACACAAACCTGTCTGCTTTCAGGTTGTCTTCCCTATGCAAACATAACACTTGACGATCAGCAAGGTGCAGAGAATAAACATGACCAACCAGGCGAAAGAATTGACCGTTGGCCAGATAGTTTTAGTGTAGCTGTCATCCACCTGACAAAAACTACCAGTGATGAGAGGGTCTGGTGTTTTGACCGTTTGACTACCTTGAATGATTGCATAGGGCGTGGCTATTAAGGAGCTGACCATAACATTAGCAATGGAGAGTAGTTTGATTTGAGCTAGAGTCAAGTGATTGCCCAAAGATCCGCAAACCACTTTGTACCTGGTCATTGAAAATGTGATATTAATGTTAAGTTTTTATAATACTTATTACAAAAAGACTATGTGGTTGAAATGTCCTAACTACAAAACAAGAATGTTATAACCAACGTAGAGCGATGTTTCAGAATGTTTAAATTTATCTTTTTTTTTTGTCCATAATTTTCTCGAATGGGGAAATAAGGCTGGAAAAACAAACTCTCCATTTTCCCATTTTCCAAAGTTAAGATTTTAAAATGTATGTTTTTAACACTTTTGTTTTTGCACAGTGCTTTAGATTAATGTTTCCCAAAGTTTTTCCTTCACGGATCACTTTGCACATTTTAAATATTTAACGGAACACTTTGCCTCTTTTTGGAGCGGCTCATTCACGTGGTGGCTTATTTAGATAACTATTCGACTAGTTCGTGAGATATTCGTTCAGGCCTCGCGGTACACTGCCTTAAAGTAACAAGAAAGAAAAAGCCGTACGAGACAGTAAGTGTAGGAGTACGAGACACAACACTTGTACAAATCATCAAGAATTTGAGAGCTTATGTCCACATGACAAAGTCACTGAATGTCAGGCAGTGAAAGAGCTTGCCATGCTGTTGCAGAAACAATAATTCTATGACATCACACACAAACACGCGCGCACGCACACATACACACTTTTGCCATTCTAACAAATATGCTTAAACATTTTTTTTGTTGTTGTTCTTAAATGTAACACTACCAAACATACCTTGTAGTTGATATAGCAACAAGAATCAACGCTGACGATATGATAAACGTGGCACTAAGAGAACGCCTAATTTTGCAGACAGTTGGAAATTTAAAATTCCAGACGTGAAACATGTCATAGATTTCACCTGGATATATTTATAAAAAAAAATAGTTTTATTACAGTAAAATATGTATGAAATATTTTTATACAATAAGATTGCTTGCTACATTTCATTAGTCTCTTGGAGTCAGATATTTACACAACTATAAAACGAACTCTATGCCTGTATGGACATCTTTGTATAAAATCATTGCAATTATAAAGTATGTGTTTGATTCATATTTAGTTTGTGTGCTGTTTCTATTCCCCGATTAGATCAAAAGAGCTTACAATTGAAGTCCAAGGCTAATGACCAATGAAAACAAGAGAGACAGAGATGTTTATATTTATATATTACCTCTCTTTCTCTCTTTATACATCAGTGCTTACTG